TTTTTTTTTTTTTTTTTTTTTTTCACTACAGAAACACCTCGTTTCGGTGTAGCTGAAAACCATGATTGAATGGACTATCGATTTATGTTTATTGTTATTAGTATTTTCAGTATTTTGTTGTTAGCCTTTCATAGCTTCATGGTGATAACAAAACGGCTGGATTACTCCTCTATTTGCAAACGGATCTAACATTGATTGGCTTAAAAATTTGCAAACATCTCATAACTTACTATATTTATAGAATAACAATGAATAAGTGGAAAATCGACAGCTCGTCGTCTTTTTCACGTAGTCTTCGATGTGACGAACCTGGTGCAATAAATCCACCAGGTTTCTCTCAAAACGTTGTTGCTGTACAGCAGGTATGTTAAGTTAGTGGTTAATTTTTGTTCCTCTTTTTTATAATTTATTGGTTCTTTATTTTTTTACCGCAGTTGCCTTAACTGTTTGCCACCGTAAGGGTACAGAATTTTTTATAAGGAATTGGAGTCTTTTGCTGCTATTGGTAAAAACTTTCAAAATTGATGAGACTTTTATTGCTCTGTAAAATACTTTCTAGAAATCAAAGTTTAGGTAGAATACGGCGGAAGAAATGAACAAGCCCAACACTTGATGACCAAACGGGCTTGGGATACCGCTTTACAGCCGATTAAGAGTTTACCTATGAACTTGTTTATGATGTATATGTCTGGAAACACGATTAGCATTTTCCCGTTGATGATGATTGCCATGATGGCTTGGAGGCCTGTCAAGGCACTTATGAGCGTGAATCCCGCATTCAAGCCACTTCAGGTAACCGTTAGTTATAAGATCATTATTGAGCGGAAAAAAAAGGTTCCTGTATAAAGAAGTATTTCAGTCGTGTCTGGAAATGTCGGTTGTAGGGGTGTAGGAATTCGTTACAAGATTGTTCTTTTTTTTTTGCAAGCAGTCATTATTTTTTGATTTGTTTGTGTTTATTTTCAGTTAAAGACTATACACAGCTTTATTTCAGGATGAGCATACTGGAAACCTTCTTTTGCAGAAAATAGTATTTGTATTGGGCAACATGATTGCAATAGCGTTAGCATTATATAAGCTGCATGGGATGGGGCTTTTGCCGAACCATGCATCTGATTGGTTAGATTTCCAGCAGCCACCAGCGAGGTTGCAGTATTCACTTGTATCTGACGCTTTTGTTGAATAATTTCTACGATAGGATTCTGAAGAAATTCCAGTATGTTTCGCAGAAGAAACATGGAACAACTTGCATTGAGCTTTTTGGTAAACTTCTGAACCCCACCGCATTGTTTAGAAGTGATCCAGCAGATTCAGTTGGTTTTTTCATCATTCTGTAGATTACACTTATCAGCACAGATGTTCAGCATTCCTGTTTACGACAAGAGAATGAATTTGTTTGCTAATTTTTAATTAATTTACACAACTATTCAAAAGTTTCTTTTGAATGCTAACAAATCTAAGAAATTATTAAGCAGACGAGAGCCAGAAACTTTGGGGAAACTGTTTTTTTCTGTTGCTGTTATTGTTGTTCCTTCTAATCCTAGCGTTTTTTCGAGCTGGTTCATTATTTTGAAAAACAGTGCTTTTTGGAAAACGATTTGAGGGACAGTCTTCTTAACTATCATGAGCCTTGTCTAGTTAGTAGTAGTTAGAAAACCAAAAATCCAAAAATCGCGACCTGCCGATTTTTGAAATACTGAAACCGAAGCAGTCCTTGAGAAACTTTTTCGTTTCTGCGGAAGACAGGTTTTAGCCATCTGGTCTGTGTGCAGTTTGAGCCTGTGAAAAACAGAAATAATAGAAGCAAGGAACGTTATTTCTGTTAGCCTATCGGGAAAATTTTATGCATTTTCCGTTTAAAGTAGTTTTTGAAAGGTAATTAAGGTGCACACCAATTAGAGAGTTTCTGGTCGTATAAAAAAATTATTCTTATTGTGAACTTTTGATGAAAGAAAGGAGATACATCTTGGCTGTAGTTTTTAATAATGTTGGCTGCAGGGTTTTACTGGGAGTATAAAGTTGTTATTACTGGTGCCTTTTGTTTGTTACGCCTAAAGTGTAGTAAAAGATACCTTCATTTTTGTGGTTTATTTGGACTACTTATATTATGCTTCACTTTGAATTTTCTGCGTGACTGTTGAGAGTTTAGTCGAGATGTACATTATCGCCACAAGTCTGTCATGATGGCCACACGTTTCGTAAAGTTCTCAATTAGTTATGTTTATATTAGTTTGAAAGGCAGCATTCGACGGTTTTCTCAATGTTTCTGCATCTATTATGGTATTTAAGGAAGGTCATTTTAAAGGCGGCGCAGTTCTACTATTTTGGGACTGTTCTTTCCTCTAAAGGTTTTTTCAGGAAAAACCGGCTCTCCGAACAGCGGCCTTCTGTGCTGTCTTGTAGACCTCTCAAAATTATGTTTTTACAGCTGTTCTACTGTTGGAGTAT